TGTGATATACACATGATACATATAAGCCAAATATTCTCCAGAGGGACAAGGTCCAGCAATAGCCCCCTCATAATGTTTTATATTCAATTCTTTGTTTGGAAGTAGAAAGTTTTAGAGCCATGAGGATACAATAGACTGTATTGTAAGTAAATTTATAAACTATAGTAAAGTTATAAAATTCTATATGACTGAAAATATTTTCAAAAAGGCAGAAAATAAAATGAGAAAAATGTTTGTCACAGATAACAACTATGGTTATGATGCAGAGATTTCCGATTGTACGGAGAAAACATGAAGACTCAAATAGTCAAATATAATCCACAGATTAAGAAATAAAGAAAAAGCAATAAAAGCACTTATTGAACTCATCTAAAACTATAGATTCACAACTATAGACTCAAAAAACTATACACTCAAAAAAAAACTAGATACACAGTTTCTACTATTAAAATGGTTAGTTTTTTTTTTTTTTTAAAGTATAATACCAAGCCTTAATGGGAATAGCACAGGTTTGTCAAATTCATGTACCTCACCTTGTAGCATATATATGTGTGTATGTTTTGGGGGAAGCAATTTGTTAGTACTAGGTGGCTACAATATTTGTATCTTTCCCCTAGTAACCATGAAGATATTCATAAGGAAATTATCAGAAATGAAAAAAAATCTAACATATGTACATATTTAATTTTTTTACTGTGTAAAACTGGAAATCCTCTAAAAGCCCTATCTATATAACAGAAAATTTGAAACCCACAAAAATGTCTAAGAATATTTAATGAAATAAGTATCTGGAGTATGATAATGTTTTTTAAAAGCTAAACTAAAAAGAATGTTCACTATAAACTCAAATCTGCATACTGACAACGTCTAAGTATATTAATAAGCATGAGAATGGAAGAATTAAAGTGTATCTCTCTACATGGAGATTTATTTCCATCTTAAAAGTGATTCTGAATTTTCTTATAATCATAAAATGTAATTTTTGTCTATTATTATTTTAATAAGTATATAGTTATACATTTTTAAATGCAATTGCACACAATAAATCATTCATACAGCCAAGTGAAATAAATATGCTACCCTCTATTCTTACAAGTTGAACCCAAGTGTCTCTTGCTACAAAATCAGAGCTCCTTATGATGTGAATTAAAGTACAGAGAAAGTCTCGATGTAACCTAGAACTAACAATGAAAATTTGAAGTATATCATATCCATAATAACAAGTGACTTCTTAGATTAAAGCAGAGAGACTGATACATTGCCTACTGCACTAATCCAAGCACTAATCCAATAACAGATGAAACTGGCACTAGAGAAAACACAGAAGGATACAAATTAGAGTTAAGATAAAAAAGAATGTTAATTACTGAATAGATGCTGAACACCTCAAGGTAGAAGAAAGAAAGTCAAAAAAACTAAGCCCAAGCCAAAAAGCCTGATAGATGTGGCATCCATTGGTAAAAGCCTGTTTAGGGGTGATACCTAGTGGTGAGGTGAAAAACAGAGAACATTTTCCACTGGGTATATTGTCTTCATCATAACAATAGTTATTACTTACAAATAATTACTATAGACCAATCCCTATTTTCAATATCCTAAATGCATTATCTAACTTGTGATTCCCCTACTTGTGAATGTAGCTAGGTATTAGAATGCTTGGCAGACTTTCATGAGGCCCTGGGTTCAATCAACATTACCATAAAAAACAAAACCCCATAAAACAATAACCCCCAAGGAATTTGTTGACATTCATCTATTTGCACAATAGTACTTAAATACTAGCATACATAGGTCTCTGGGATAGTATTTTGGAATGGCTAGTGAGGGGGATTTTAGGAAGAGAAATGGGAAGAAAATTTTATTTCCAATAAAATAAATTATCATCCATGTGAGGGAAGAGGAAATGGGAGGGAGATAAAGAAGAGACGGTTAGAAAAGAGAAAAATTGACTTCAGAGCACTGAAATGTTGAGAAGTGAAATTTCAAGGAAGAAAAAGATCTTAAGGAAAATGACAGGTAAAATACACTATTTTAAAAAATTAAACATTGGATTTGAAGAGGAGGAGCATACTAGTGACTTAGGATACCTTTAGTGACATGAGGTAGATCACAGCCAATTTACATGGAGAAATGATTGGCGATGGAGACATTTGTTAATTTATTTCATAATAAGGTAATTATAGTAAATGAAATTTATTATATACAGAAATACGATAGGTGACTTTGGTTGCAATGGGTGCAAGATAAGAGAAAATGTGTGGAAGAACCAGTAGAATCATCACCCCATTAGAAAATCGAATCACTCTGTGGAAGAGTGTAGAAACACCTCACATTATCCTTCACTTACCATGAAGAGGATAACTGAGGCTCAAGTTTCCATAATTTCTAATGGCACACTTCCCTAAATAAACAAACGATCCCCAAATTATTGCAGCGCTCATCCATATAATGCCTTACAATGATGTTTTTTCAGCAACACCTTTTGGGTTCTCAGCATTGTGTTCAATGCAAATGAATACAAAGAATACAATAGGAATCAATGCAATGGAGTACAGGTTACAATATTCTGCAAAATACTTGTGTCTAGTTGAAAACAACAGATATGCAAACAAGGTTAAGCAAAAAAAATATGACTGACCATGATAGGATTTCCAAATAAGTTTTCTAATAGAGAAAAGTCACTCTGCATTAGAACCATAAATGTTAAAAATGCATATAAGTGACACAGACCAAAGTATTATAATAAATAGTAGCTCCATTAGAAGCTACTATACATGGAAACATACATACATTTTGTAGAATCTTCACAGCAACAGAAAAACTCAATGCTACTACCCTCCTTTTAAAGACATGGGAACTGAACCCTAAAAGAATAACCACTTTATCCCAGATCAGATTATCAGGCAATTAGCAAAAATTAAAAGCCAGCTCCCTCTGCCTGTGATGGTTAACTTCATAGACTAAGTCACACATCTAAGAAATAATATGGCACTTTATACTTATATTCTGGAAATCAGAATTGAATTTTCTAGGGATATATGTAAGATCAGAACTGAATAAACAGTGTATATTGTTACTGGTACCAACATTGACCAAAAATTGTGGTAAGCTGAAAGGTATTCTATTTGAAGGAAAACTGCTATGCAGTATTACACAGAGAGTTACTGCAATACTGTTTGAAGATTTTAAACATATCACATGTATCCTTGAAGATTTTTCTTATCTGCAACAATAAAAAGAAATTCATCAGGAATAAATAATTACAAGCAGTAAGAAAAATGCAGATACATGTATAAAATAAAAGTCAAAGTAATAAGATATTGAAATAAGTATGATATGAAACTGCAGCACAAATTTAAATAAGTCCACAAGAAAATTTTGTACAAATAGATACACTATCCAAGTGATAGGATCCCCGAAAATTCTAATAGTTACATAATTAGGCATTCTGGAAAGTGGGTGGGTCCTTTTCTAGACCTCCAAGGGTTGGTAGCCCTAGGTTACCACCCAGCTACATTTCCTTCCAAATAACCAAGACAGGGGCATAAGCACACCATTACGCTCTGACGAGTTTAATAAAATATCCCAGACAGAATACACATTTATCTGATGCTGTGTTATCCTTCACGGTGGTAAGGTCCGTATGCACTCTATGAAGCTGAAAAACGGAAGGAAATGGATGACGATAAGATAGCATCCTAAGAATGTATTCAAAATAATGTTCAAAATATTGATCTTTATGTGGATTGCAGAAATTATTTCATGCAGGGTTTCGTCAGTGTGAGTGCCTTTTCTCTGGCTTTTCCCCCAATGGAGAATTTGATTCTCTTTCGTCCCTCCCACTCAGTGCTTGCAGATTGCTTTAGAAGGCCAAGGCAGCCTGCTCAGCAGCAGGGAAGCCAGGCTGGGTGTTCAGGAGCTATATATAGCTCCACCTTGGAGACATGCAAGCACTAGCACACATATAAATGCCCATGCTGGATTTGGCATGGAAAAAACAAAAACTATATATATATATATATATATATATATATATATATATATATATATATATAAAGTAAGATTGCAGCTCTTGCATCTTTTCCGCTTCCTATCAACCCAGTTTTTCAGGAATTTTTCAAAGCAAGGAGTCTGCAGTCTCTGAGCAAGGGGATGCAGGTCTGGTTTCTCTGCAATTCTTCCCACTGCTCTCAACAATCTGATCCCAGGAGGAAGCGGCACTGGGCCAACACCTACGACCCAGATGCGGTCACCCCGGGAGGCTGCCTTGCAGCATTCTGGAGCCCGTTCGGGCACAGCCACTGGACTCTGGGAATACCTTTCAGAAACTAGGTGAAGCGGTAATTCCCAACAGAAAACACCCGGGTAGAAGAGGCAACGCCTACTCTGTCACTACCCGCTCGTCTGCAGCAGGCTCTGGAGAAGGGCCCGTGCCCTCCCAATAGAGATGTAATTAATCGGAAAATGCCTTCGAGTTGCAGGAATTTTTCCCCAACCCCCATTCCTGAAGGGAGCTAGTTCTCAACAGAGCCAGGATCCAGCACATCCTCCTCCTAGCTCGCGGCAGTCACCCACGGCTGGCGTAGGGATGCGCGAGTCTAGCCCTCAGGTGTAGCACAGGGAAGAAGAGGTGTAGACAGACGTGGGGAGGACAAGAGCCCTTGCGATCTGAGACCCCTGGTTTCGACCCCCGCCGGATCCACACGGGGGCAGCCGGCGGGAGCAACCTCAGTCACAGAGGAAAGTTGAGGAGCTTGGAGCCCAGGCTGGGTCCCCTCTCCTGGAGCATTGCCGTCCTTCGCTGCCCGTAACCCCAGGCTCCAGCATCCTGCATCCTTCCTTCCTGCACACCGAAACCTCTACCCCAATCCTCCCTTCCGTACTTCGTGACCAAAGCTGGTTTGGGGTAACAAGGGCGGGGCAAGGGGGACTGGTAAGGAGGCGACCGCATGGAGACACGCGTTCTTCGTTTGCAAAGAAGGAAAAGTCCTGCCTCCTACCTGTTCCCAGCTCCTGCTCGCCTCGGCGCGGCACAGCTGGACTATAGCCTACAGGTTTCCCACTTCCGCGGCAGACTCCTGGGAGCACATCTCGCACCAGCGCCCCTCCTCGCCTCGGCGGAGCCCACCGGGCTGCTTGACAGCAGACACCCGGCCTCGGAGAGCGACGATTGGGCGTGAGGGTAGAATGGGGCGGGAGCCTGGGAAAAACCCGGCTCTCTGATTGGGCAGGAAAGATATCGCTCTCGCTTCCAGGACCAGAGCTTGTTGCGGACTCCGGTGGCTGATGAACCCAACCGCAAAGGGTCTCTGCAGCCTCTGGTACTAAAACCGCAGCCGCCGTGTCAAGGACCCCAAAAAGGGCAGAAATCGGCTTGAGGACTTGTCACTTGAGGCCCCAGGAGGGAGGGTGAGGCCTATCATAACCAGACACCCAGCAGTTTCCCCAGCTTTCCTGAGGAGACCATCTGCTCAGAGATTTGACAGGCGAAAATATCAGATCCAGAGCTTCCAGAAAGAGGCATGAACTTCGGCTAAGAAATAGGAAAACAAAATACTTATGTAAAAAAACAACTTACTTTTTTTGTAATGTAGGAATTTTGTTTCAAGATTTTTTTCTTAACCATAACATGGCAGTTTTTCTTACAGCAGAAAGGATGACCTGCAGAAACCCCCCAGGATATCCCCAGATAGCAAAAGTGCTTCAAGTAGACAAATGCTGCACAGTAACCTCTCAAGAAACAGTAAAGGAAATAAATTAAGAGATGGGCAGCTCACTTGGTAGCTAAAAATCTTAATATAATCTCCCCCGACTATTAATTTTCTACTGATGATAGTTCATCATCTCTTTTTTGCTTGTACTCAAACCCTGAGAGAATGTGGAAGGCACCAGAACCTAGGTGACTTGGAGCCTCCCTTCTAGTGAAGGTGGATAGTTCATCTCCACTAGGTATCCAGGGAGAATCTGAAAACTGTGGGAGTCATTGGGCCACAGTGAGTTCCAGCCCACCCTTCTCTAAGGTGTAAGCAGAAGAGAAGGCAGAGTATCAAAGAAAAATAAAACAGGGTACCACAGGAATTAAAACAAGAATAATAAATAAATCTATGCTGTGTATCTTCATCCATTCTTATTCATTCATTCCTTTAGCAGATATTATTGTAAATACAGTGGTGAATGAGAGAAAATTTGTCATGGAAGTCATCCTTCATTCTTGGCATGCAATGTTACTTTGTTTCCAGATCTTGTGTGTGTTTATACATGTGTGCATATGGACACACATGCTCTTACTTTTAACTGAGAAGTAATATTAATATTATTTCTATCTGGAACAGAGTCCTCATGTATTTTAAAATAAAGACTATTTCCAGGTTATTATTACTTCAGAAACAAAAACTTGTACATCTGCATTCGCTGTGGAGAATTTTACATTTTCCAGATCACTTCAGACAGAATCCCACTCCACATTCTGAAGTAAGTGGGAGACTCATTACTAACTCATCAGCTGTAAAACCCAATGATATGTATATAAAAATTTGTTTACAGGACACAACCTACATCAATAATATATCCTTGTTGAATATGTGGTTTATAAAAGTGAAATTTTAAAGGATCTCAGAAATCAGTAAGTTCGCCCAGTTACTCTGTAAAGGGAATCAAACGTAATTTGCTCAAAGTCATGCAACTACATCTAATATCCAGATGTTAAGACCACCCGCCATTACTTTCTCAACCACACAGACAGTAACTTTTTTGGTATCTCTTCCAGCAGATTACTTGTTTTTCTTCCCCGAGCCATCTTTCAGGACTGATTCAGCTAGTGCCTCCATAATCCAGCATCTGTGAAATACAGAAATGTCACCTTAACTAGAAATTAGGAAAACCACAATCATTAGCTGTTATGGCTTATTTAGACATCCTCACAAAGCATTATAGTCATAGGTGAGGCTTTTTCAGAGGTGGCTGAACATTGAGTGTGTCATGCTGGGACGGATTCATGCTGCAATGATAGGAATAAGGGTGCTAACATTAAGTGTGTGAGTGGTACCCACCCTAAGGACGGGAAGACTGGATAAAATATAAAGGACAAAAAGTGACTTGTTACTTGCTGTGGACTGCTTTGCTTCTTTCCACCATGAACTACACCTCTGTGATACCCCTGAACCATGCCACACTGCCTTGGAGCCAGGAAACTATGAACTGAAACCTCTGCAAACCATAAGCCAAATAAACCTTTCCTTCTTTAACTTTGGGAATCTCATTTATGAGACAAAGTAACTAAGATAGAAGCTAAAAGTGAGGTCTGCTTCGTGAGTCAGCTCAACGTACCTGGGACTAGTGCCGAGCTCTTATAGAAGACTGATGGGAAATAAGTGGCACTGACTTTCTTTCTTGTGAAGAATGGAATCATATAAACATGAATCTGGAGTCCCCTACTCTGGAAACCTAGTATAGTGTGCGTCCACAAATTTTCAAAACAAAGCGGGGGGGGGGCAATTTTTGCCTTGTTCCCTGCATGGCTCTGACTCCCTAATCACTTGCAGAGTTCCAGAGTATAATTTATTTGGCATCACATTGCTGAACTTCTCTTGGCCCTGTTACTGAATTCTCCTGTCCTACCCTCCTTCCACCCTGCATTGGCTCTCATTCTTCAAACATTTCAATTTCCTCCAACCACTGATTAAATCTCAGTGAGAGGAGAGGAAACTACAGCAACAGTATAGCTTTCCCCAGCATGCGTTCCCCTGCTTTCTCTCCGCTCCACCCACCATTTCCTCACTTTCAATTTTCCCAGGAGAACATCTCCTAACATAGCCTGATGTGACAGAAAAGGGGGAGAGAAACAAAAGGGTTTTTTTCCTTTTCCCAATCAAAATTTCAAGCTGCACTTGACACAGCAGAACTGCAAATGAGGCTCTGCCTGTTGGTCTGAAGATTCATGCTGAACTCTGCCTGCAGCGCCTCAAAGATCACATCAGTCCACTGACCTAGCTTTTACAGAGCCAATGGAGAATGCAGGCAAAGGGATGCCAGCGCAGCATGGAGTACACATAAAGGCACACAGGTGCACACACACACACACACACACACACGCACACACACACACGCATGCACGCACGCACGTGCCACCCATACTATGTGGAGAGGAAATGAAACTGGGAAACTAGTTAAGTACTGGAAATATACAGCAGCATCTTAGTTAATAGCAAGACCCACTGTGATTTTCTGGGGATTAAGAGTAAGACTAGAATTCCTTTTGTTTTGGTGGTGACTACTGTGTACCAAAAGGGTAGACTTATAGAAAAAGCCACATGCTGACATAGCCAAGTCATTTTTACACATATTCTATTGTTTTACAATGGAGTTTACTGGTTTTTTTTAATACTGCCCCAAAGGTGTGATAGGACTCAATGTGTAACGTAACAAAAGGGCATGTTAATGGAGGAGATGTCCCCAAATTCTTTCAACGCCTAGATGTCATGATGAGGGACCTATGCTCAATTCATTTGTTAAATTGTGGCTTTATTCTTTGTTGTGCATGGAGAGTGAGAGGTCACATATTATTAGGGAACTGCTACTCAGCCTGACTTAATCTGTTTTCCCCTCCATTACCAACTGCTATACTTGACAGTGAAAATCTTATTTTTGAATAGCTTTGTGAAATAACAAGTACACTTACTTAATCATCTGCATTAGACGTTTTCTCCTGGTCTATTCTCTAAGGTTACAGTGGAAAACCTGAGACTAGTAACTGATTGACAGGAAAAGTTTACTTCCTGATGGTGTTGAAGGCGAGGAGATCCAGGACCCAGAGCTGGCATCTGGCAAGAGCTTCCTGGTACCGCAGCCAAGGTGAGAGGGGAAAGGCAAGGGAATCCAAGGAAAGAGAGAGCAAAAAAGGGGACCACGTTGGCCCGTGTTACCACAGTAACAACGTTATTCCGTTCTTGATGGCCGCCTTCTTGATCTGATTGCCTCTTACAGCCCCACCTCTCTCAACTGCTGCCTTAGAGATCAAGTTTCCAACACAGGAGCTTTGGAGATACATTCATTCAAACCACAGCAACTCTGCTCCACTCTAGACTAGCTAAACTGAGAGGTAAAAGATGATAAACTTCAGTTTCCTGTGACTTAAAACAAGGGCAATGGGACACAATAGATTCAAAACTGCTGGCTAAGAATATGGTATCAGTGTCTTTATAAAACGTTCTGGACCTAAGCTTGGATGTAGTGGCATATGCGCAGTATGCAAGGAAACTGAGGCAGAACAATCCTAAATTCCAGGCAAGCCTGAGTAATTTAGCAAGACTGTCTCAAAATTTAAAAAGAATTACTAAAGGGCTGAAGAGGTGTCTCAGTGTGAAGGTTTTGGGTTTAACACTCAGTATTGCACACAAATAAACATACAAATAAATAAGTCATCTCCCTCAAATATATTTGCTATATTTGCTCACACCCCTCCCAAGTAAAAGACTTGAAAGTATCACAAAGAGAAAAACAGGGAATGGAGGAAAGATTTCCACTTAATCCAAATTTTCAAATATATTTGCCTAAAGTTTTTCCATATAAACTAATATCTATTGCATTTATATTTATGATCCAATTTTAATTCTTTTTTTTCCAATTTTAATTCTTGATTATTGATAAATTTGGTAGTCACGCCTCCCAAGTTTTCTGCAGTATTTAAAAATTTTATTAATTATCTCAAACATCAATTGGGCTATGTTAAATTTCTCTAATGTATATTTGTTGTTTATACTACTTTCTGTTCTTGTCTCTGTTCTTTCCCTGGCTTTGTTTAGTTTTGGTTTGATATTCTCTTTTTCTCTTCTTGAGCTAGAAGTATGTATCACTCTTTTCACAGTCTTCTCTTTTAACTATTTACCTTTAAAACTAATATTTTTCTCCAAGTAGTGCCTTTTCTCTAATATTTTTGATATTAATATTTCTTATTTTGGTTCATATATTTTCTAATCATTCTTCATTTTTGTCTCAGATTATTCAAAATTACATGTTTCGTATATTCTACTTCGTGTTTCTATTTACATTTTTATTTTAGAATTTTAACTTAATCTGTTAGAAAATACTCTAAAAGGATTTCAAGCTTCTGTAAT